TTCTCAAAAGTTCCTGCTCCAAAAGTATATTTTCCGAAGAAAATATCACAGACCGATATATCAGTCAACTAGTTAAGCATATTAACTAGATGTTGACAGAAAATTAAGTTCCAATATATCGTGCAAACATACAAAAAGATAATTTTTCACCGGAGCTCCAGAACAACCGACCGACTAGGTCCTGGTGACCCTTGACCAGGCATCCCACACATCTAACTTTATATCACACAACGTAACCATCAGACATACTAACAAACATCCCACATCTAAATTTATATCACACAGCGTAACCATCAGACATACTAACAAACATCCCACACATCTAACTTTATATCACACAACGTAACCATCAGACATACTAACATCCCACACATCTAACTTTATATCACACAACGTAACCATCAGACATACTAACATCCCACACATCTAACTTTATATCACACATCGTAACCATCAGACATACTAACAAACATCGCACACATCTAACTTTATATCACACAACGTAACCATCAGACACACTAACATCCGACAAATCTAACTTTATATCACACAAAGTAACCATCAGACACACTAACAAACATCCCACACATCTAACTTTATATCACACAACGTAACCATCAGACATACTAACAAACATCCCACATCTAAATTTATATCACACAGCGTAACCATCAGACATACTAACAAACATCCCACACATCTAACTTTATATCACACAACGTAACCATCAGACATACTAACATCCCACACATCTAACTTTATATCACACAACGTAACCATCAGACATACTAACATCCCACACATCTAACTTTATATCACACATCGTAACCATCAGACATACTAACAAACATCCCACACATCTAACTTTATATCACACAACGTAACCATCAGACACACTAACATCCGACAAATCTAACTTTATATCACACAAAGTAACCATCAGACACACTAACAAACATCCCACACATCTAACTTTATATCACACAACGTAACCATCAGACACACTAACATCCGACAAATCTAACTTTATATCACACAACGTAACCATCAGACATACTAACAAACATCCCACACATCTAACTTTATATCACACAACGTAACCATCAGACATACTAACAAACATCCCACACATCTAACTTTATATCACACAACGTAACCATCAGACATACTAACATCCCCCACATCTAACTTTATATCACACAATGTAACCATCAGACATACTAACATCCCACACATCTAACTTTATATCACACAACGTAACCATCAGACATACTAACATCCCACACATCTAACTTTATATCACACAACGTAACCATCAGACATACTAACATCCCACACATCTAACTTTATATCACACAACGTAACCATCAGACATACTAACATCCCACACATCTAACTTTATATCACACAACGTAACCATCAGACATAGTAACAAACATCCCACACATCTAACTTTATATCACACAACGTAACCATCAGACATACTAACATCCCACACATCTAACTTTATATCACACAACGTAACCATCAGACATACTAACATCCCACACATCTAACTTTATATCACACAACGTAACCATCAGACATACTAACATCCCACACATCTAACTTTATATCACACAACGTAACCATCAGACATACTAACAAACATCCCACATCTAACATTATATCACACAACGTAACCATCAGACATACAAACAAAAATCACACACATCTAACTTTATATCACACAACGTAACCATCAGACATACTAACAAACATCCCACACATCTAACTTTATATCACACAGTGTAACCATCAGACCTACTAACAAACATCCCACACATCTAACTTTATATCACACAACGTAACCATCAGACATACTAACATCCCACACATCTAACTTTATATCACACAACGTAACCATCAGACATACTAACAAACATCCCACACATCTAACTTTATATCACACAACGTAACCATCAGACACACTAACATCCCACACATCTAACTTTATATCACACAACGTAACCATCAGACATACTAACATCCCACACATCTAACTTTATATCACACAACGTAACCATCAGACACACTAACATCCCCCACATCTAACTTTATATCACACAACGTAACCATCAGACATACTAACATCCCACACATCTAACTTTATATCACACAACGTAACCATCAGACATACTAACATCCCACACATCTAACTTTATATCACACAACGTAACCATCAGACATACTTACATCCCACACATCTAACTTTATATCACACAACGTAACCATCAGACATACTAACAAACATCCCACACATCTAACTTTATATCACACAACGTAACCATCAGACATAGTAACAGACATCCCACACATCTAACTTTATATCACACAACGTAACCATCAGACACACTAACATCCCACACATCTAACTTTATATCACACAACGTAACCATCAGACATACTAACATCCCACACATCTAACTTTATATCACACAACGTAACCATCAGACATACTTACATCCCACACATCTAACTTTATATCACACAGTGTAACCATCAGACCTACTAACAAACATCCCACACATCTAACTTTATATCACACAACGTAACCATCAGACATACTAACATCCCACACATCTAACTTTATATCACACAACGTAACCATCAGACATACTAACAAACATCCCACACATCTAACTTTATATCACACAACGTAACCATCAGACACACTAACATCCCACACATCTAACTTTATATCACACAACGTAACCATCAGACATACTAACATCCCACACATCTAACTTTATATCACACAACGTAACCATCAGACACACTAACATCCCCCACATCTAACTTTATATCACACAACGTAACCATCAGACATACTAACATCCCACACATCTAACTTTATATCACACAACGTAACCATCAGACATACTAACATCCCACACATCTAACTTTATATCACACAACGTAACCATCAGACATACTTACATCCCACACATCTAACTTTATATCACACAACGTAACCATCAGACATACTAACAAACATCCCACACATCTAACTTTATATCACACAACGTAACCATCAGACATAGTAACAAACATCCCACACATCTAACTTTATATCACACAACGTAACCATCAGACACACTAACATCCCACACATCTAACTTTATATCACACAACGTAACCATCAGACATACTAACATCCCACACATCTAACTTTATATCACACAACGTAACCATCAGACATACTAACATCCCACACATCTAACTTTATATCACACAACGTAACCATCAGACATACTTACATCCCACACATCTAACTTTATTTCACACAACGTAACCATCAGACATACTAACAAACATCCCAAACATCTAACTTTATATCACACAACGTAACCATCAGACATAGTAACAAACATCCCACACATCTAACTTTATATCACACAACGTAACCATCAGACATACTAACATTCCACACATCTAACTTTATATCACACAGTGTAACCATCAGACATACTAACAAACATCCCACACATCTAACTTTATATCACACAACGTAACCATCAGGCATACTAACAAACATCCCACACATCTAACTTTATATAATACAACGTAACCATCAGACATACTAACAAACATCACACATCTAACTTTATATCACACAACGTAACCATCAGACATACTAACAAACATCCCACACATCTAACTTTCTACACACAACGTAACCATCAGACATACTAACAAACATCCCACACATCTAACTTTATATCACACAACGTAACCATCAGACATACTAACATCCCGCACATCTAACTTTATATCACACAACGTAACCATCAGACATACTAACATCCCACACATCTAACTTTATATCACACAACGTAACCTTCAGACACACTAACATCCCACACATCTAACTTTATATCACACAACGTAACCATCAGACACACTAACATCCCACACATCTAACTTTATATCACACAACGTAACCATCAGACACACTAACATCCCACACATCTAACTTTATATCACACAACGTAACCATCAGACACACTAACATCCCACACATCTAACTTTATATCACACAGTGTAGCCATCAGACATACTTAATGTGTATAGGACGAAGTAAATTTTCTGATATACTCAGTATTATCTCCACAGGCGTCACATCCCTCTGAGCCTAGGGAAGGAGAAATGTTGGTCACACGACTGTCTGTTTAGAGCTAGCAGTCCGAAACACTCCTGAATACCAGTAAATTCACGAAGTACAAGCTTTCACGCGACCCTTACATCACTTATCGTTCACCGTCACGACTAGATAGTGCAGTGAAGCAGACGACAAAAGAATGTCATAAGATACTCGGTCTTTTAAAGCTGTATGTCGTGAACAGAGAAAGCATTCATAAACATACAACACCAAAATAACGACATCCCACCTATTTCTTTGCGAATGTGGTACAGACCTATTACAAGACAAAAGTATGCTCCTTTATCAAAATATAGAAATATAATTACATGTTTTTTTGTTGTTATAGTAACGAAGTTGTCATTAGTCGGAGCTATTTTTTGTTGTTATAGTAACGAAGTTGTCATTAGTCGGGGCTATTTTTTGTTGTTATAGTAACGAAGTTGTCATTAGTCGGAGCTATTTTTTGTTGTTATAGTAACGAAGTTGTCATTAGTCGGGGCTATTTTTTGTTGTTATAGTAACGAAGTTGTCATTAGTCGGGGCTATTTTTTGTTGTTATAGTAACGAAGTTGTCATTAGTCGGGGCTATTTTTTGTTGTTATAGTAACGAAGTTGTCATTAGTCGGGGCTATTTTTTGTTGTTATAGTAACGAAGTTGTCATTAGTCGGGGCTATTTTTTGTTGTTATAGTAACGAAGTTGTCATTAGTCGGGGCTATTTTTTGTTGTTATAGTAACGAAGTTGTCATTAGTCGGGACTAGGTTCCTATATCAAAACATAGAAACATCATAACATGAAATTTATTTCTGATACAGACCTGTCGCATGCCGGAAGTAATCTCCTATATCCGACTACAGGCTGTAGACATATCGTCACGATCAACACAATAGATCTTACACCAGATTCCATTTTAAGTTCCCGGAGATTGTCTGACTCATAAACTATGTTTTAGCTAAAACTATATACTGTTAATTATGATGAAATAAATGACTGCAACAGAGGAAGGGTCCCGTGTCCATCGGACTATACACACCGACACTACTAGGTAAGTATGTAAGTAAACAGAAAAGTGTAGCTTAGTCAGGATCTAGGTCGATTCTATTTCTGGACGAAACTGAACATCTTAAAATGTCTCTAGTTGTAAACAGGACGTAAACCAATAATAAACATCGATAAAAATAATATTCAATCTCATCTCTGTCTGTTCGTATATATAGTTAATAGGTAGTCTCTTCAACAGTCACCAACACAGACTGTCACTCATATAACCAACACAGACTGTCACTCATATAACCAACACAGACTGTCACTCATATAATCAACACAGACTGTCACTCATATAATCAACACAGACTGTCACTCATATAACCAACACAGACTGTCACTCATATAACCAACACAGACTGTCACTCATATAATCAACACAGACTGTCACTCATATAACCAACACAGACTGTCACTCATATAATCAACACAGACTGTCACTCATATAACCAACACAGACTGTCACTCATATAACCAACACAGACTGTCACTCATATAACCAACACAGACTGTCTCATATAACCAACACAGACTGTCACTCATATAACCAACACAGACTGTCACTCATATAACCAACACAGACTGTCACTCATATAACCAACACAGACTGTCACTCATATAACCAACACAGACTGTCACTCATATAATCAACACAGACTGTCACTCATATAACCAACACAGACTGTCACTCATATAACCAACACAGACTGTCACTCATATAACCAACACAGACTGTCACTCATATAACCAACACAGACTGTCACTCATATAACCAACACAGACTGTCACTCATATAACCAACACAGACTGTCACTCATATAACTAACACAGACTGTCACTCATATAACCAACACAGACTGTCACTCATATAACCAACACAGACTGTCTCATATAACCAACACAGACTGTCACTCATATAACCAACACAGACTGTCACTCATATAACCAACACAGACTGTCTCATATAACCAACATCTATTCTATGAATTTCTGCAGGACGTCTCTGATTTCTATTCTATGGATTTCTGCAGGACGTCGCTGATCTCTATTCTATGAATTCCTTCAGGACGTCGGTGATCTCTATTCTATGAATTCCTTCAGGACGTCGCTGATCTCTATTCTATGAATTCCTTCAGGACGTCGCTGATCTCTATTCTATGAATTCCTTCAGGACGTCTCTGATCTCTATTCTATGAATTCCTTCAGGACGTCGCTGATCTCTATTCTATGAATTCCTTCAGGACGTCGCTGATCTCTATTCTATGAATTCCTTCAGGACGTCGCTGATCTCTATTCTATGAATTCCTTCAGGACGTCGGTGATCTCTATTCTATGAATTCCTTCAGGACGTCGCTGATCTCTATTCTATGAATTCCTTCAGGACGTCGGTGATCTCTATTCTATGAATTCCTTCAGGACGTCGCTGATCTCTATTCTATGAATTCCTTCAGGACGTCGCTGATCTCTATTCTATGAATTCCTTCAGGACGTCGCTGATCTCTATTCTATGAATTCCTTCAGGACGTCGCTGATCTCTATTCTATGAATTCCTTCAGGACGTCGGTGATATCTATTCTATGAATTTCTTCAGGACGTCGCCGATCTCTATTCTATGAATTCCTTCAGGACGTCGCTGATCTCTATTCTATGAATTCCTTCAGGACGTCGCTGATCTCTATTCTATGAATTCCTTCAGGACGTCGCTGATCTCTATTCTATGAATTCCTTCAGGACGTCGCTGATCTCTATTCTATGAATTCCTTCAGGACGTCGCTGATCTCTATTCTATGAATTCCTTCAGGACGTCTGATCTCTATTCTATGAATTCCTTCAGGACGTCGCTGATCTCTATTCTATGAATTCCTTCAGGACGTCGGTGATCTCTATTCTATGAATTCCTTCAGGACGTCGGTGATCTCTATTCTATGAATTCCTTCAGGACGTCTCTGATCTCTATTCTATGAATTCCTTCAGGACGTCGCTGATCTCTATTCTATGAATTCCTTCAGGACGTCGCTGATCTCTATTCTATGAATTCCTTCAGGACGTCGCTGATCTCTATTCTATGAATTCCTTCAGGACGTCGCTGATCTCTATTCTATGAATTCCTTCAGGACGTCAGGACGTCGCTGATCTCTATTCTATGAATTCCTTCAGGACGTCGCTGATCTCTATTCTATGAATTCCTTCAGGACGTCGCTGATCTCTATTCTATGAATTCCTTCAGGACGTCGCTGATCTCTATTCTATGAATTCCTTCAGGACGTCGCTGATCTCTATTCTATGAATTCCTTCAGGACGTCGCTGATCTCTATTCTATAAATTCCTTCAGGACGTCGCTGATCTCTATTCTATGAATTCCTTCAGGACGTCGCTGATCTCTATTCTATGAATTCCTTCAGGACGTCTCTGATCTCTATTCTATGAATTCCTTCAGGACGTCGCTGATCTCTATTCTATGAATGAATTCCTTCAGGACGTCGCTGATCTCTATTCTATGAATTCCTTCAGGACGTCGCTGATCTCTATTCTATGAATTCCTTCAGGACGTCGCTGATCTCTATTCTATGAATTCCTTCAGGACGTCGCTGATCTCTATTCTATGAATTCCTTCAGGACGTCGCTGATCTCTATTCTATGAATTCCTTCAGGACGTCGCTGATCTCTATTCTATGAATTCCTTCAGGACGTCGCTGATCTCTATTCTATGAATTCCTTCAGGACGTCGCTGATCTCTATTCTATGAATTCCTTCAGGACGTCGCTGATCTCTATTCTATGAATTCCTTCAGGACGTCGCTGATCTCTATTCTATGAATTCCTTCAGGACGTCGCTGATCTCTATTCTATGAATTCCTTCAGGACGTCGCTGATCTCTATTCTATGAATTCCTTCAGGACGTCGGTGATTTCTATTCTATGAATTTCTGCAGGACGTCGCTGATCTCTATTCTATAAATTCCTTCAGGACGTCGCTGATCTCTATTCTATGAATTCCTTCAGGACGTCTCTGATCTCTATTCTATGAATTCCTTCAGGACGTCGCTGATCTCTATTCTATGAATTCCTTCAGGACGTCGCTGATCTCTATTCTATGAATTCCTTCAGGACGTCGCTGATCTCTATTCTATGAATTCCTTCAGGACGTCTGATCTCTATTCTGATCTCTGATCTCTATTCTATGAATTCCTTCAGGACGTCGCTGATCTCTATTCTATGATTCCTTCCGGACGTCTATGATCTCTATTCTATGAATTCCTTCCGGACGTCGCTGATCTCTATTCTATGAATTCCTTCAGGACGTCGCTGATCTCTATTCTATGAATTCCTTCAGGACGTCGCTGATCTCTATTCTATGAATTCCTTCAGGACGTCGCTGATCTCTATTCTATGTCGAATTCCTGATTCTATGTCTCTGATCTCTATTCTATGAATTCCTTCAAGACGTCGCTGATCTCTATTCTATGAATTCCTTCAGGACGTCGCTGATCTCTATTCTATGAATTCCTTCAGGACGTCGCTGATCTCTATTCTATGAATTCCTTCAGGACGTCGCTGATCTCTATTCTATGAATTCCTTCAGGACGTCAGGACGTCGCTGATCTCTATTCTATGAATTCCTTCTATGAATTCCTTCAGGACGTCTGATCTCTATTCTATGAATTCCTTCTCTGATCTCTATTCTATGAATTCCTTCAGGACGTCGCTGATCTCTATTCTATGAATTCCTTCAGGACGTCGCTGATCTCTATTCTATGAATTCCTTCAGGACGTCGCTGATCTCTATTCTATGAATTCCTTCAGGACGTCGCTGATCTCTATTCTATGAATTCCTTCAGGACGTCGCTGATCTCTATTCTATGAATTCCTTCAGGACGTCGCTGATCTGATCTCTATTCTATGAATTCCTCCAGGACGTCGCTGATCTCTATTCTTATGAATTCCTTCAGGACGTCGCTGATCTCTATTCTATGAATTCCTTCAGGACGGACTATGAATTCCTTCAGGACGTCGCTGATCTCTATTCTATGAATTCCTTCAGGACGTCGCTGATCTCTATTCTATGAATTCCTTCAGGACGTCGCTGATCTCTATTCTATGAATTCCTTCAGGACGTCGCTGATCTCTATTCTATGAATTCCTTCAGGACGTCGCTGATCTCTATTCTATGAATTCCTTCAGGACGTCGCTGATCTCTATTCTATGAATTCCTTCAGGACGTCCTGATCTCTATTCTATGAATTCCTTCAGGACGTCTATTCTGATCTCTATTCTATGAATTCCTTCAGGACGTCGCTGATCTCTATTCTATGATCTCTATTCTATGAATTCCTTCAGGACGTCGCTGATCTCTATTCTATGAATTCCTTCAGGACGTCGCTGATCTCTATTCTATGAATTCCTTCAGGACGTCGCTGATCTCTATTCTATGAATTCCTTCAGGACGTCGCTGATCTCTATTCTATGAATTCCTTCAGGACGTCTCTGATCTCTATTCTATGAATTCCTTCAGGACGTCGGTGATCTCTATTCTATGAATTCCTTCAGGACGTCGGTGATTTCTATTCTATGAATTCCTTCAGGACGTCTCTGATCTCTATTCTATGAATTCCTTCAGGACGTCGCTGATCTCTATTCTATGAATTCCTTCAGGACGTCGCTGATCTCTATTCTATGAATTCCTTCAGGACGTCGCTGATCTCTATTCTATGAATTCCTTCAGGACGTCGCTGATCTCTATTCTATGAATTCCTTCAGGACGTCTCTGATATTCTATTCCTTCAGGACGTCGCTGATCTCTATTCTATGAATTCCTTCAGGACGTCTCAGATCTCTATTCTATGAATTCCTTCAGGACGTCGGTGAT